TAAATTTGTGTTGCATAATTGCATCTGAACTTGGATCCCAAATTTTATGTTGCCACCTCAGATTCTGAGTTAGCGGCCATGATTCTTGTTTCTGACCTTGGATTGAGCGCTTAAGAGCTTCGTCATGCTATAGTCAAACCAGCATCCCAGGGAGCTGCACTGAAACACAGCGATCAAAAACAGATGGAAGCACAGAAAAAACAGACATGAGCTTGATGTCAAAGTCAAAGGGGAAGGATTTGGAACCACGATTTTATAAAAAAAAAATTTGTCTGGCACCCAATAGGCAGTTAGAATCTCAGTTAAATGTCTCACGAAAAACGGCATCCCTTAGGCATCCCATCCAACTGGCTGGGAGCGGGCCACAACTAGCCCAGCGGATAATTTCATCTGGCACAAGACCATTTCCAACTTTGGGCGGCACACTCCCTCCCTTCCCGACAAACCGTCCTCTCAAGACAGTGGCAGGAACCGGTGTTTGGGAAGACGCAGCTTACGCGTCCCACGTATGTTTCTCAAATAGGGCATTAGGCCATCGGCAGCCAAACTTTGGACACCCGGTCTTAGATTATGCAGCATTCCCCCAGCACTGCACTTAACCATCAGCCTAGACAGTGAGCTTGCTCTGACATAGAGCTTGAACCCAGAATCCCAGAAGTAAGATTAACACCTACACTAACACAAATGGCAAATGCATCAAACCTCCACATCTTCCTTCATAGCCTGCAGGATGCCGTTTGGCTGGAAAGCGAAGGGCAGAAGTTCATCACACATCAGTTCCTCAGCAGCCAACTTCATTCACATTGCGTTAACTGGTAAAACATTGGAAGGAGCTGGTGTGAAGCCAGCTCATTTTGCATCTATTCGTCTTATCACACGTAATGTCCTGACAGCCTGCCTGTCCGACATCGAGTCCTGGACGAGAGACAACTTTCTTCAGCTCAACGTGCGAAAAACTGAGGCCCTCCTGATTGGCTCACGTCAGCGCCTCCGCACCTCAGGCGCTGACACCATCAGCATCCAAGGCTGCACTCTCCACCTCTCAAAGCCAGTCAGGAACCTCGGCGTTTTGTTCGACCTGAGCTGTCCTTTCTCCCTCACATCCGCACTACAACTGGCACCGCCTTCCATCACCTCCGGAACATCGCCAGACTACGGCACTACCTCACCCCTCACGCTGCTGAAACCCTGGTTCACGCCTTTGTCACCTCAAGGCTGGACTATGGGAACTCTCTCCTCGCCGGCCTTCCCGGCACCTCCCTCCACAAGCTGCAGGTCATTCAGAACTCTGCAGCTCGTGTACTGTCCCGCACCAGGCTTCGCGACCACATCACTCCCACCCTCGCTCGCCTCCACTGGCTCCCCATCCCCCAGAGGATTGATTTCAAGATCCTCATCCTCACCTACAAGGCCATTCACGGCCTTGCTCCCTCCTACCTCTCCAACCTACTATCCCCCTACCTACCTGCCCGTACCCTCCGTTCCTCTGGCTCTGGTCTGCTCCACGTCCCCCGCCCCAACCGCCCTACCATCGGTGGTCGGGCCTTCAGCCTCTGAGCCCCCAGGCTCTGGAACTCTATCCCCCAGTGCCTTCGCCGCTTCCTCCCTTTCCTCCTTCAAGGCCGGTCTCAAAACCTTTCTCTTTGACCGTGCCTTCAGCTCCCCTCTCGACTCTCTTCCCCCTCCTCGCTCCCTCCCTTCCCTCCCCTCACCCTGACCATTTCCCCCTCCTTGCTCCCTCCCTTCCCTCACCCTGACCATTTCCCCCCTCTTTGCTCCCTCCCTTCCCTCCCCTCACCCTGACCATTTCCCCCCTGCTCGGGTCATGACCCAACTGTGCAGCGCCTTGGGACGTCCTCCTGACGTGAAAGGCGCTTTATAAATGGAATCTTGTTGTTGTTGTTGTTGTAATGTCACAATTCATTTATAAATCTCACCCGCAATTAGCAAGGATGTCAGTTTGCATGCACCTATGGATACTGTCAATGCCATCGTATTTGTTCAATCTGTTAAATTAAGCGTGATGCCTTTCATTCAGTTGCCACATTCCTTCATGAGCTTTCAAGCCTCCTCAGCTGTTTAACAAGCTCAACTGGTGATAATTCACAGCAGAACACGTTTCTGCAAGAGAAATTTGCTCTGCGTCTCACTCGCAATCACACATGCTGCGTTTCTAATCCTAGACATGCTGGCATAGGGAGGCACCAGGTGGAGACACAGGGAGTTAGAGAGAGGGATAATCTGCTCAAAAAAGACATTTTAGAGGAGATAATACAGAGTATATAAAATGGTACAAGAGCAACAACTTGCATTTATAGAGAATACTTCATGTGGGATAGTCTCAAAGCACTTAAAGGGATAGAGAAAGTAAACCCAGGATTTAATTTCTAGATAAACCAAGCAGCAGAATAAGAAAGCATATATTCAGAGTTATGGAGGATAATTCCAGAACAGACACAAGAGGATATTTTTTCATATAGAAACCAAAAAGCAGCTCCAAAGGGTAATAGGTAGTAAAGGCCAGCAGGACACTGAGCTACTTTAGGAACAGCATGGTACTATAATGGGAACCCGGTAGAGTTGGTATTCCAGAAGTATGATATAATCCATACCTTTCTTCTGTCAGTCTGACTCACTTAGTAGCATTCTCGCCTCTGAGTCAGAGGTTGTGGGTTCAAGCCCCATGTGGAAACTTTGAGCTCACATTCTAGGCTGACATTCTAGTGCAGTCCTGAAGGTGCATTCTTTGGATGAGACATCAAATTGAAGTCCTGTCAGCCTGTTCAGGTGGACGTTAAAGAACTCATGGCACTATTCAAAAAGAGAAAGGAGTTTCTCCCAGTGTCCTGGCCAATAATCCCCCATATAAAATAGATAATTTCCATGGCTGTTTGCAGAATATTGCTGTACTCAAACAAGTTGCTGCATTTGCCTGTAAGTACAATCAAAATAAAGTCAATACACACCACAGTAAAATCCTCTGAACTGCCTTGAGATGTCTTGACGAAGTGATGAAGCTCTATATCATGTGCAAGGATTATAATATATTGTGAGGCAAAGGCTTCTCTTGCAAAGTCCTAGAACTGCTTTTAAAATCAACTTTGGCAAAAGTATTATAATAAGCCTCTCGTGACTGATGATATATGACACTGGAAGGCCTGGAGAGGGGAGAAGAGAGCACCTGTATCAAAATCAGAAACTGCAATGCGTATATAAATCCATAGATTGACAGAACAACGTTACCAATCCAGCTCAATTGCATTTGCCTATAGATACAGTCAAAATAAATAAAGTCAATATACATCACAATAAAACCTCTGAGGTGCTTTGAGATGTCTTGATAAAGTGATGAAGCTTTAGAACAAGCGATACTCTCAACACTGAGTCAGAATGTTGTGATTTCAAGCCCCACATTGAGAATTGTAACCCACATTGTTTACACTGACACTCCAGTGCTGCATTGCCGCCTTCACATGAGATGTTAAATTAAGATTCTGCTTGCTATTCAGATGAATGTTAAAGATCCCAAGACACTATTCAAAAAGAAAAGGGAATTTTTCCTAGTGTCCTGGCTAAAAATCCCACCCTCCCACCCAAAAAATAAAATTAGTCATTCACTTTATGGCTGTTTGTGAGACATTTGTAGGCTGTGCTTAAATTGATTCACCACAAAATAAATATAGTTACATCATCTTACAGTATATCCTGTGAAGACGTCTCAACGATGAGATACGGCGCTGTATTGAATGCAAGGAATATTATTAACAGAAAAGGAGTTTGAAGAATATTTGTGAAAAAGGAAGAATAACTGAAAACATAGAGACATATTCTATCTTCAAATCTATGATGGATATCGTATTGAAGTCACAAAGAGGTGTAGCCAGGCCTTAAGTGAAATGATGAGGAAGTTCACGGCTGAACTGACTGAAAAAAGAATGAAATTGCAAATCGTACATACAGAAAATAATCTGAAAAATAAGAAGCTGCAACATCAATTTGCATTTACATAGCATCTATGATGGAGTTTGATGCTGAGCTGGGGAGACAGGGGAAGAGACTGTAGGCACAGTCACAGAGGAAAGTCTTCAAGTGCGAAATGGAGGCGGGCAAAGAAGGAGCAAGACAGAACATGAAAGCATTGCAAGTTTTTGAGCAAGTTGCTTTGGGCTTTTGTTGCAAAATACTAAATGAGAAATTAACACTCATTAGACATCCACAGCACTAGAACAATAAAGGTCATACATCTCAGGGTATTTGTGTCACTCCATTTTTATTTAAATATTACTAGTTGTACCGGTTGCAGTTTTGCTTGCAACCAAAAGATCCAATATGGAATGTAGATTGACACACAGACAGACATTTCATCTTTATGTATACTTTACAGTATATTCTGTGAAGCGCTTTAAGAGTCTAGAAAACCTGAAAAGTGCTAAATCAAATGCAAGGATTATTATTATTATTATTATTATTATTATTATTATTATTATTATCTGGGAGGACCTCTAAAGGAGGACTCCATTTGGGACAACTCAGTGGGGGGAGTCGGCACTTCAAAAATTTAATTCTGTTGTTGTTGTAGTTGTTGCCACGGCTTAGCTTCGTCTGTGCAGCACCACGGTTAGCCGGCGCGGCCACCAGGTGTAACTGAAGTGAAAAATGCAAAACTGAAAATAACTCATGAAAGATAGGACATGCCCGAAAACAAATATGCCCTTGTCACTCCCAGTTTCACGACCTTTCCGATGAGGTATCAATCATGACTCCATGTCATTCGGGATCCTTTCTGAAGCGCAGACAGACATTGTCGTTTTACTAGTATATATGCATATATGATAGATAGAAGATAGAAGTTGAACGATCAATGCAAAATGCTTCACCTTTGGACAGTTTAAAAAGCAATGCACGTTTATGAAGGTTGGGAGTTCCCCCGCCCCACCCGTTTGTCTCTATTGCATAATATTATTTATCGATTGTGAATAATGATTTTTCATTTTTTTCAGGATGAAAAAAATCAAATGTTGATGACAAATGTTTGGTTGCAAATGGTAAGAATTTTATGTTTATTCCTAAAATGAAAGCTAATCGACTATACCATTATTTTGGGTGTCAGCTTGGTTTAGTTGAAAGTATGCTCACCACTGTGCCTGAAGTGGTTTCAAGCTCCATGTCAGGACTTTGAACTCACACAGTCTAGACTGACACTCCAATACTGTTTGGGGGGTGCACTTGATTGTTGGAAGTATCATTCTTTCACTGATGCATTAAATTGAGGTCTTGGATACCTGCCTTTCCAGGTGGACACTAAACAACAACAACAAAATGACATATGTATAGCGCCTTTCCCATGGCAATATTCAAAAAAGGAAAGGCGTTTCTCTCTGTGTCTCAGGTCAAACATATCCCCCTGATAAAATTGGTCATTTGTTTCATGGCTGTTTGGGGGATATTACACCTGCTGCGTTTGCCTTCAAATACAGTCAATATACAAATTCGTACAATAGTCAAATACAGTACATCCTGTGAAGTGCTTTTCAGTGTCTCTCCTGACACAAAATGCGCTATTTCAAATGCAAGATTTATCATTAGATAGCTTCTTGTTCTCGTGCTGTCTGATGTTCATTCTCAAACTCATGGATAGTCTCTTTAATTTTCGTATAAATTAACTGTAGAATTTCTTCGCCCCCAAACAGTATTGGACAGACTACTACCTGTCTTGGAACCTTGCTGAGAACCCTGGTGTTCGAACTCTGCGTTTCCCTTCACATCAGGTTTGGGTGCCAGATATTCTCCTCTACAACAGGTAAGACTCCTTCCTCTCTGTGAGGTGACTGTGATCAGATGAGTATCTCACCTGGCCACCCCACTGGCTGCCTATTGGAAAACAGATCAATTTTAAAATCCTCACACTTTCTGACCTGCTTACACCCCACTCCTCTACTTTCCCCCTTTGCCCCCTTTGCTCAGCTGATTCCGGCCTCTGTCACTTCCTTCTCGCCCTTCCTATCAAACATGGCTGCCGTATGTTCAGCCACTATGCCCCAAAACTATGGAACACTCTGCCTCAATCCCTCCTTCTTTTCCCATCTTCCTTCTTGCCAATCTTCAGATTGCACCAGAAGACCTTCTTCTTGGACTGTGTCTACATTCACCTACCCCTTCTCCCTGACACTGCAAGACGCTACCCAATTTGAAGGGAGGTATATAAATGCACATTGTTTTAGTTGTTGTTATAACTCTTCTGAAAGGATGGTTGAGGCCAGGACATTGGACCCAGAAAGAGCTTGATGCTGTAATAAGATGTTGTAGGGTGGGTATTGTGGAAGAATGAGATCATGTAGTCAAATTTCTGTAATTTCCATTTCATTTCATTTTCCTCAGGGCTCTGCCCTTGGTCCCCCCCACCTTCAACATTTATATGCTTCCTCTTGGTGACATCATCCGTAGACATGGGGTCAAATTCCACATGACTGTGCAGGGCCTTGGGATGTCCTCCTTATGTGAAAGGCACTGTACAAATGTAGTTTGTTGTTGTTGTCCATTGATTGATGGGAAATCCTATTGTAAGGCTAAAATGGCAGCTCTTCTTTCTAGGGACTTTGTAAATCAGCTTAGCTTCATTTTATAATAATAATAATCCTTGCATTTGATATAGCACTTTTATCACATCTTCAAGATGTCTCAAAACACTCCACATAATATGCTGTAAAGTGAATTGACTGTGTATTTTGTGGGTGAAGTTTCATATTATATATAACATCCTCCGAATCCTAGCTTGTTTTGAAGGCTTGTAACCTGCCAACAAATAGAGAAAGGGATGATCTGACTCTGACTGTGATCTAACAACAGGAGCTTTTGATTCTTTCCCTCAAATCCAATCACTTCCTATGGGCTTGTTCACAGGAGAGCAAGAGGATATATAGGATTTTTCTAAAACCTTTTTGACTTGAAGCTGTTAGCAACAAGCAAGTTCACCAGAAAGTAATAAAATTAAAATCATTAATAAAATTGACTGTGGATTCAGACTCTCAATTTCGAATGGTTTATTAATGGTGAAACATCCATGGCTGAAGTCTGGGTGGTTTTGCTTCTGTATTGACAAAGAATTTGACTTTGAAATACTTATTTTGGAAGATGAGTAATGAGGCGGTGCAGATGTCAATACACACTCCCTTCCATACTCATCCCCCTGACCAATCCCCAGTTTATGCCACGTTATGTGGCTCCATCCGTATAGAAGCCAATAGAGCAACTATTCACCTGCAAAATACACAGTCGCTACACTTTCTGGTATATCCTGTGAAGTGAGTGCAGCTAAATCTAATCCTGAAAATGAAGTTTCCCCCATTGTCCTGCCCAACAATCCCCTAAATAAAATTGGTCATTCACTTCACGCCTGTTTATGCGACATTGCTATGTGCAAATTGGCTACCACATTTGCCCACAAAATACAAAGCCACACCACTTTATAGTAAATCGTTCAGATGAATTCTTTACATGAAATGCACTACATCAAGTTTTATTATTTATCGACTATGAAATGTTGTATTTCAAGGATAAGATTATTAGAATATTTAAAATAAACAAAATCCATTTCTACTGTATTATCACATGCTAAGTAGCAAGGATTACATGGAGCTTCAGCATAGATATTCTTTTATGAAGATACAAGCAAAAATTTAATAGTAATGTTTTTTTAGCTACAGCTGAATATTGTCCTCTTCATTCTTGCTGGCTACAGAAGTCCAGATTTTAAGGGATATTCCATAGAACCAATGTCATCTTCAATCTAATTAGGTTTACATCACAACAACAAAATTGCTTTTATATTGCACCTTTCTTGTCGGGAGGATGTCCCAAGGCACTGAGGTTGGTCCAATTTGATCATCTCAACACTGAAGTGTTTTTACAGGAAATTTAGACCTTCCCCTTTAGCAGCATTAAAAGTCATCTAATATTACGCTAAGCAGAGCGGCCCAGTGCTTGGCAACTTGCCCCTTCTACCACATTCCTGTCACTGCCACCACCAAAAATTGCCCTAAAGAGCACCTCCATCAATGCATTTGAGTGTTGAGAATAAGCCTAGATTGTGAGTTTAGAGTCCTGATGTGGGCCCTGAGCCCCTTCTATAATAACCCTTCCATTTGATATAGCACCTTATGATGTGTCTCAAAGTTCTTGACAGGATTTACTGTGAAATGTAGTGACTGTGTATTTGTAGGCAAACAAGGCAGACAATTTCCTTACAGCAATGACCCACAAACAGCCATGAAGTAAATAACCAATTTTGTCTAGGGGATTGTTGACCAGAACTCTTGGGAAAACTTCCTTGTCATTTCAAGCAATGGCATGGGATCTTTAACGTCCATCTCCACAGGCAGATGGGACCTTGGTTAAACAGTTCATCTGCAGCATGGCAGCGCCAAAATTGCAGCACACCCCCAGCACTCATTTGGAGTATCAGCTTAAACTGGAGGTACTGCTTCAATATCTCCTACATAATGCACAACTGCAGCAGGATTTAGGATTCTGAAATATTACAAATAAGGACTTTCCGATTTACAAACATATATTCCTTAACAATGCTGGGATAAAACAGCAAGCAGGTAATCACCGGATAAATGGTGATTATTTCCGATGAATGGGTGTAAATGAGCAGAAACGGAACAAATGAGATCTGCCACATTTGATAATTGCTAACTTGCTAAGCAGCGTGAACACAAGGTTATTCACATGTTTCCTCGTCCCTATTGGAGACTTCCGACAAAGTATTTCCAGACCATCTGCAAGCAATAGCTTTAACCTTCTGTATTGTCTGTCATCTCAGTCGCTTGTGGAGTGCAGTGCTGTTTTCACACAATGTACCCACAGGTGGTACAGTAATCCTCAATGGTTCTGATTTTGTCATTTGTTCTTCAGCTCAATATCCACAGTAAGATTGATATATTCAGGTCTCAAGAACCTGGTGTAGCTTCAGAGTTGTAGCTTCTCACCCTGGATCAATTTCAAAGATGTCAATGTCCTACAAATACAGTCACTCTACTCTACAGTATAATTGTGTGAAGCACTTTGAGACATTATGACAACTTGATAAGGCACATTGTCAAAGTGTCAGCCTGGCTCAGTTGGTAGCACACTCTCCTCTGAGTCAAAAAGTTGTAAGTTCAATTCCCACATAATCAAACTTGACACTCTATTACAGTGCTGAGGGAACACAAATGTTCAACCAAGGTCAATCTGGCTGTTCAGTTGGCCATTAAAGATCCTATGGTACTATTTAAAAATTGAAGGGAGTTTCTCCTTGCCCAGCGATCCCCCAAATAAAATTGGTCACTCACTTCAGGACTGTTTTGTGCAAATTGACTGCTGCAATCACCTTCAATTACAGTCATTCACTAAAATTGGCAGTAAAATCCTGTGAAGCGCTTTGAGACATCTGAATGACATGATAAGGTGCTATATCAAATGCAAGGATTATTATATCAAATTCAGGGATTGTAATTAATATTATGAAGAGGCATTGCTTTTCTGCTTCTCTTTCTTCTGAACCTACTTGTGATCTTGTGAATTAACGCCCTTAGTTTTCAGGAGATGAGGTTTTCAAACCAGCTTCATGTGGCATGTTCCTAGATGCATATCCTCTAAATTTTTCTGCTTGTTGAGAGCAACTGTATTTCAATGTTTGTACATGGTTCCTCAGTGGAAACTAATCAGGTGATGTTTATCAACTTTGATCTCTTGTTAAATTGTTCTTCAAAGTCCCCACAAACAAACAGATTACACAAATGGCTTTGAAAGAAACTTCAATCACAGCTGCACATTCCATGTTACATTTGTAATCTGTTTGCTAGCTCTCAGTTTAACTCCTAGATTTTTATTGGAAAGCCTTCTTCTTGAATTTCAAAATCATTCAGATAAGTGTCTACCTCAGTTATACACAAATAGTCCAACACATGTCGAGCGCCAAAAAATAGTGATCTTTTGCATTCTTTAGCAATGGAAATTCAGCAATAAAAAGATTGGAAAAACAATTTCTACATTTAGTGATTGACCTGTGATAGACAATAATGATCTTAACTGAGTCATTTTATACCAGCAAAATGGTGTTATTGCTTACTTTATTGAGAGCTGCCAATGTTGGGCATAGCACTAATGGGCAGTAAGAGTGCTAGATAATGTTCAAGCGTGACAACTTGATAACCTTTTTGAGAGCTGCCATTATTTGTCATGCAGCACATGGCCGGTCTGTGTTGTTTATTGTTCCCATGGCATGCTGCTCAGAGTGACGATTAAGAGTTTCTCAGGCACCTGTTTCTCAAACAGGGACCTGTAATAAACACCTTATTGAAAATTCCACCCTACAACATGGTTGCAGTGTGGACCCCATTCACTGTTCACGTGTACAAGCTTGCTTCCCACATACCAGCTGTCTGTTGCACTAAAATGCCCACCGTCTCATACAGAGGACAGGAAGGGACGTCAATAGAAATCTGATGTCCTGGAATTTGGCCTAATAAAACATTAACTTCCAGGTCGTCCTGTCATTGAGAGGTTTACCTCCTGGGTGGTGTATGTGCAGCCTGGAATTTTTTAGTATAGAAACTGTACAGTACACAAATATCGAGCTGACCAGCTGAATAACAATAATAATAATAATAATAATAATAATAATAATAATCCTTGCATTTGATATAGCGCTTTTCACGTCAGGAGGACGTCCCAAAGCACTTCACAGAACACACTGTAAAGTGAATTGACTGTATATTTGTGGGCGAACGCGGCAGCCAATTGCGCACAGCAATG